TGTGACTGGGCTGTTTGCACGACGGAAGGAAGATAGTAACAGTAAAATTCAAAACTGTAACAATTAATTGCACATTTATTCAAANTTTTACCCACCTCGGAAGGATGGAAGGCTGAGTCAACCCTGAGCCGGTGAGATTTGAACCGCTGACCTGCTGATCTAGCAGTAGCCTGCAGTGCTGCTTTTAACCACTGCGCCACCTTGGCTCTAGCAGTAGCCTGCAGTGCTGCTTTTAACCACTGCGCCACCTTGGCTCTTGAGATTGAGGTGTTGATCACTGCCCCCAGGGGGAGGAGCTTGGTGGTCGGTGTGAGATGACTTTTTTCCAGGTTCATGGAGAACCCGTGGTTCTGGAGGGACCTCATGGTAACCTGGAGATCTCGCAAGTCTTTTTTCCTGGACAACTGGATTATATGTCATCCAGGTAATACTGGAGCCTTACGGGTCTGTGCCTGAGGTGAGCTGCGACTACTGACAAAATTTGGTGAAGGTTCTGGGGACCAACGAGAGGCTGAATGATAGGGTTCTGTACTGAAAATGTTGGCCCACGTAGAAGAACCACAGGAACTTTCAATGTTGTGGCCCAATTGGGATGTGTAGATATGCCTCTATGGACGTGAGCAGGTCCCCCTGGCAAATTGCTGGTAGGATGGTTTGCAGGGATTGTATTTTGAACCTCTTGTTTGCAAGATGGTAATTGAGGTTCTTCAGGTCCAGTATTGCCCTCCACCCCCCTCAGCTCTTGAGTATCAGGAAAAGAATGGAATAAAATCCCTTCTGCTTCTGATTGGATGGTACCTGCTCTATGCTATCTCCAGGAGATGATGGAGATGATCTCCTGGCACATGAGCTCTCTCTTGATTGGGCAAGAGGGGGTGGGGCATCGGATGAAATTTTTTGGGGGACGTGAGATGAACTCTAGGGAGAGTCCTTACCTCATGGTCTGCAAGACCCAGAAGTCTTCTGAGGTTTGTTCCCATTGAGAGACGAAAAGTTGGAGTCGTCCCCCAATGGGAGGAGTTCCCTAGTGGTCACTTGGTTTTGCGGAAGGGCCTGTGAGAGGCCCCGCCGCGATTGGGTCTGAGGTAGTTATACTGCTGCCTACCCGTCCCAAAAGGATTGCTTGTCCTAGAACCTGTCAGCTGATTGATTGAACGGTCTGTGGCATATGGAGGAGTTGAACGAGGACTCGTTGCATGAAAGGACTGCCTCCTAAAGTAGGGAGTATATTTGTGATCCTGCTTTTTATTCAGGGTAGGAAGGATCTTCCGTTTATCCTTAGATTCAATTACGACGGGGTCTAAGACCTCTCCAAATAGTTTGGTCCCCTTTAAGGGAGCAGAGGCGAGCTTCCATTTAGCGTTCAGATCGGCCTGCCTGTGACAAAACCAAAGAAGGCGCCTAGGTATTACTTTAGAAGCTAGCGCTCTAGAGGCAAACTTCTCCACATTAAGCGAGGTATCGGCTGAGTACTGAGCTGCTGCTATGATTTTGGTCATGTCCTGACAGAGACGTGCATTGCCTGCTAGGAGTTTAGTCTGTAGTTCACGTAACCAAATAATGGATGCCCAGTTAAAGAAAGAGGCTGAGGAAGACGCCTTAATGGCCCAGGCTGCCACTTGATGAGTTTTGTGGCAGGCCTACTCTGCCTTTTTATCATCCACCTTGAGGCCTTCCATTAGGTCTGCCGGAAGAACAGAATTAGAAGTGAGGGCTGCTATCGGGGGATCTACCGAGAGTAAGGTCAATATGTCCTCTAGATTTAATTCCACTGAATATAGCTTCTTGTCCCCACCATTGGATGCGACTAGGGAACCAGGTTGGACCCATTGCCACTGAACTACATCATGAAGAGACTGGGAACAGGAACAATGTCCTGTGGAGGAGCCTGCATCTTAAACATGATATTGTTAGGGTTGGAGACGGTCGAGTCCGAGGAACTCTGCCCTGCTTGGGGTTTAGTACCCAGCTGGGTAATGGTCTTGGCCTTGTGCAAGATGGATTTAAATAAAGTGTGCTTGAAGAACCCGGAGAAGGCAGGAGCATCTGGAGGAAGGTCTTTATCCTCCAAGAGCTCCTGCTCCTCCCGCTCTGGGTCCTCCCAGACAGAGACCTCTCTGACCACAGAAAATTCCAGAGAAGGATGACGTACCAGGTGACTGGCGCCAGTCGCTACCTTCCTGGATCCGGAGGGGGCTGGTTTATCTGGTATTTGATCCCCCTTCTGAAGCCCCTTGGCTATGCCCTGGGAGATGGCACTGGCGATAACCGCTTGCATTTGGGTGGACAGTTCGGGCCCCTGATCTTCCCTGGGCCTAACCCCGCCCTTGGTACTGGAGGAAGAATGTGCCTGGCCCTCAGAAGATGAAGGTGGGACTCCCCCCCATGAGGCTACGCCCTGATCCTTCAATCAAGTTTAGATACAGAAGAAGGTGCGGGGGAACCGGGATCCGGCAGGGAAATATCAGGTGACAAATCCTGTGACTCTACCTCCTCCTCAATGACCCACAGCATTCCCAATAGGAGAGGGGGGAAGGGCCAACTCAATCCACGCAGTGGTCTGCGGGTTGGCCTTTGTTGCCTGACATTGGGCCTTTACAAATTGTTTTTTGAGAGCCCGCTGCTGGTGCTCAGCATCCCTATCTGCAGCCATGGATGATTGGTAGGGATGACTGTCCTTTCCTACCACCCTGCCCTGCCTAGTCTTCTTGTCTTTGCTTGAGGCCTTGGCCTGACTAGGGGCTTGGGAGGGACTTGGTATACCATGATAGCAGGAAGATGGGCCTGGCTGTTCCATATGTGCCGATCTGGACACAAAGCAGTCAATGATGTAAGCCATCTCGATCTGGACACAAAGCAGTCAATGATGTAAGTCAGCAGGTGGTATTAACTGTGTATTACCTCTTGCTGCAGCTGGAGCCCTCAATCAATTGAGGGAAGCAGGTCCTAAGGGATCGCGAACCAGGGAGGTTGAGCCGCCTAGCAGATCACTCAGGGAGGGGCAAAAATGAAATCAACACTCCCTGTGCCGGTTTATGACAGCGAGGCAGCCAAAGACACCAGTGCCGCCTGACGCTAAAGAGTCAGTGGCAGCAACCCTGCCGGAGCCCTGAAAAAAATCAGCTGGCCACTCAGTGGCGTTCTGCACAGAGACGGACGAGCAGCAAATCAAGCCTAGAAAGCGCATGAAAAATGAGCTTCCAAAATGGTTGTTGCACCGGTGCGAGGATGGAGGAGAAAATGGCCACTGCGACTTTTAAAATCGACCGCAAATGTCCCTGCGGCTTAGCGGCAATCAGAAGGTCCAAAAATTAGCTGCTGCCTGCTCCCGGCAACCGCCGAGAGCTCCACCACCCTTCTGGGAGGTAAAGATCCCCAGAAGGATCTCCGCCACCGTCCGCAAGAGGCACAGTAGGTGGAGCACCCCACATGTCCGTTCCTACCTCAATTGAGCAGTCCACTGACAGACAAAGTAAAATTCAGGGAGAAAACAAGAAAATGTGTAAAGGCTAAGAAATAACAAAGGAAACACAAAAAAGGAAAAAGGAAAAAAACCTAAGAGAGGAGAGTCCAAACCTGTGTTAAAACTAGAAGCTGGAGCTCACAAAAATAGTCCTTAATGGGCCAGACTGAGGAAAAAATGTGGCAATGAGGAGGACCAGGAGGCGTGGCTAAAGAAAAATATTACCTCAGTCCTTGGGCAACCAGACTAATTTAACCCATGCTTGGACTCTCCAAGCAGCGCACAGGAGAATCTTGTATTCATTTGTTCATCCAATCAGTCTTAAGCTAATACCCTGCTTTCTAATCTAATGAGTACTGAACCTTTTGAAAAACTGAACAGTATAAATGTTAACAAAAATCATATTAAAATGAACAATCAGATTAATAAACAATTGAAAGCCTGGCAAGACAGATTTGTAATTACAGATTTTCTAAACTAAAAGGGGAGTAAACCTAACTCTTAATGAACTGTCTTCCATAACCTTGGAGCATTACAGTTATTTGCCAAAAAGATGGATCAAGGTGGGCCATTTATAATGGAAACCTCTTCAACAAAGCTTCTCCTAAAGATATTAACAGCTAGATAGATTCACAACAGGGCAGACAATCCTTTACATGATCTTAATAAGTATTATGTAAACTTTTAAGCTACTTGCAGTTTTAAATACTGATACCTTAAAATACACTTGGATAGCAACTAGCAACTGTGCAGATCTTTTAGTATGCACATATGTCAGTCCTGACCTTGTACCATTTAATAGCCTACCTGTTTTATTTTACACAATTTCAAATACTCTACACTTTTCAAGAATATCCCTATATAGAGTGTATTGGAGTTGTAAGGATCTGGAAACTACTATATATGCTGACAACCTTTCAGTTTCAAGAACTAAGATTATTACAACTGATTATTTCCTTTGGTTTGTTTTTTTTAAAGTCATTTATAAATGAGTTCAAAATCAACAAATGTCAAGTTCTGATATTGTTCATTATTTGGAATATTCAGGGCTTTCTTGGATTTGTACTGAATATGGAGTACACTTTCTCCAGATATATAGTACAATGGTGATTCAGTTATGGAACTTTTTCATCTGAGTGAATATTCCAAATAAATGAGTTCAAAATCAACAAATGTCAAGTTCTGATATTGTTCATTATTTGGAATAAGTTTGGAAAATATTATTATAATTATTATAAAATATTATTATATTTTGGAAAAAAATATTATTATTTGGAAAAAGTTCCATAACTGAATCACCATTGTACTATATATCAGGAGAAAGTGTACTCCATATTCAGTACAAATCCAAGAAAGCCCTATACAAAAGCCATCTTATATCCAATAATACTTTTTAAAAATATACACATATTGGCTTCAATTATAGGAACTATTAAGTAATTTTTTAAAGAAATAGTTTCTATAAAAGTTAGCCTATTCATATAATGAATACAAACTCTGAACAAAACCAGTATCAAGCTCACTAAAAATGACTTACTTTTATGTTGATTTTTGTGTTAGAAATTTTTACATTCATAGGCATCACTTCTGCAAGCATTTCGTCTTCAAAGAAACGTTGAATGTTCATAAGTGAAGAAGTTAGGAAGTCACCAGTAAAATCTTCTACATGACATTGTAGAAACCCAGTTTTTTCAGATTGCAATGAATGTATTAAAGCACTGGGTCCACCTTCCCACCTTAGTCTTACTTCAGGAGTTGGTTTAATTGGCCCAGCTGCACATTTAGGATCTGAACCTGTTATAAAAATTTTAATATGAAATAAAAGCAGTCCAAATAAAGGGATCTATATTTTGATAAGTGGTTGTCTCCATAATTTTATATTATAAGTAGAAATAGTTAACCCCTATAGAAATTCAAAAGATCAATAAGATACAGCATGTTCTTCCTCTAACACTTTCATGCATTCTTATTTGTCTAAAGTCATTTCTCCCAATGCTAATGTTGCAAACTTCACATAATCTCTTCATGTTAAGATGTATTGAATAGTATTAGATATTGACAATACTGTCAATCTTCCCTCTTTGCAATTTAGATTAAAGTAGTAACTCCCAAAAGAAGTTTAAGATTATAATACAAGAATTCCAGCACGTACTGTATTTTCAAATGATGGTGTGTGTGAGTGTGTGTGTAGAGAAAGAGGGAGAGGTGGGGCAATCAATTGCCGCAAAAGTACTATCAATTTCCTTGCATTTTTTTCAGCATAGAGGAAACAGGTCTTGTCTGTTTTGGATGAACTGGGTCTTCATTTCGGATGTCAGAAAATAGATGAAGAAAGGAGAGAAAATTTGGCAGAAATAATGAAAGTAATCTCGGCAAAAGCACTATTGATAACAAAAGTGAAGCTGATAAACAGAGCAGATAAAGGGTTTTGAATTCTTATAATGAACAACAAGTTCTTAAGAGAAGTCCACATAAGTCTTATCAAGAAACATTTAGAATACAGACTTTACAAATGGCAAGAGATATTGGACTACACTGTCTCTGGAAGGAGTCAGGATGATGAAATGAAATGTCACAATGAATTTTACTTAAATGTAGTTAAATTTTGAGTGCTATGTACAATGTTATAGTAGCTATAGTCAAATAAATGATTAATAATGATAAAGCATGTATATATACTGGATTGATAGTATGAAATTTTATACAATACTGTAAGCAAAGATTATGGAGATGTTGAAAAGCCTTTTTATAAAAAATAGACAATTCTACATAAAATAATTAGAAAGACATAATATCATTGGATGATTTCAGGATAATGTAACACTTTGTATACATGAATATTAGATTGATGATACTAATAATGGGAAAAAACATGGAATTGGAAACTATTAGAGAATATTATCAATGTTAAAATGATTGAATTACTTAGAATAGGAGGAAGCATAATAACAATGTATACAAAGATATCTTGATTTTCAATATGTGAATATTGATAAAATTCAAGTGAGGACCACGGAAAGGACACAGAAAGACTTTGTAACCAATTGACACACTGTGTGTAATTGAAGAGGCTTTGATGTTATATGTGTTGTGTGTTTGTGTTTCTCTGAAAATAAATTTTTTATTAAAAAAACTATATATAGCTGATGCAAGTGCTCAATAAGATAAATGGTAGTTTCAATTTCTGAAGTTTAAAAAAGAGCATGTCAGTTTTCAGATTTTTTTTTTAAAGTATGTATACATATTTATAGGCCTCTAAACTGTATGTGTCTAACATGATAATGTATTTTTCATAATCCATTACCAAAAAGAGAAGTTGTTCAAGATTAAAATGAAAATACTCTTAGTGCCTTTTTGTGTTGTTTCTTACCTGCTGTTCGGTTGCAGAGATAATGCCGAACACTGATATTGCCCAGCTGATTTGGTAAAACATGATTTATCTGAAGGCAAACTTCTGTGTCTTCACCTCTGATGTCGATTTCACCATTAATACCAAATATTTTAAAAACTACCACTGACATCTGTCACCAAAACAAAAAGCAGATAATCTATTAAGATTCAGACAGGGTTTTTTCCTTTTCAAATACTTTGTTTGCATAATTTAGTAGTTTTAGGAAATTTTGATGCTCACTCTGTGAATTAGGGTTGTACAAAATGTTTCACATTCAAAATGTTTTTAACTTGAAATACTTCATTTCAAGTTTAACATGTGTTGTTCCCACCATTCCATAAATGTTTCAAGTTTGAAACAAAACAGGATGGGTGAAATAGCTTGAGACATTTTTTTTTTTTTGGGGGGGGGGGGTTCTGTTACATACTGTCACCTTAGAAAGTCTTGATACTTATGCATAATCAATGGAGAACTGAAGGGTTTTTTTTTGGGGGGGGGGGGTTAGGCAAAACATTTTGATCTCAAAATGTTGTTTATATCTGATCTAAGTTAGAAGTATAATAGATGCTAATAGCAATCACTATAGTCTGTGTTTCACATTTGTTTGGATTTTTAATATTTCTAGCTACAATATACTGAAAAGATGCTTTGCTAAATCAAATATGCTAATTATATATTCATCAAATTACAAATATATATCTATATATAGATGTGTTATACATCCTAATGATCTCCTATAGAAACATTTGTTACAGGCAATATAGTACCTCAAACAGAGTCAATGCAACTGGAAGTTTAGTATAGGTAGTCCTTGGTTTACAACCTTTCATTCTGTGGCCATTTGAAGTTACAACACTGAAAAAAGTGACAGGGCCATTTTTCTCACTTGTGACCGCTGCAGCAACCCCATGGACATATGATCAAATTCAGACCCTTGGTAACTGGCTCATATTTATGACAGTGGCAGTGTCCTGGGGTCATGTGATCACCTTTTGCGATCTTCTGACAACTGAAGTCAATGGGAAAGCCAGATTCACTTTACAACTGCAATACTAACTTAACAACTGCACTCATTCACCTAACAACTGTGGCAACAAAGGTCATAAAATGGGGTAAAACCCACTTAACAACTGTGTCACTTAGCAACAAAAAATTTGGATTCAATTATGGTCATAAATCAATGATTACTTGTAATAGAAATCCAGAATTTAAATATGGCTCCTAGAAAGTTCTGCTGACTATCTTACAATGACCCAAAACATACAAGTCTTATCACCAAAGACTACCAGTAGGTAAGTTGAAAAAAGTCAATGTTTTGAAATGATCAAGTCAGAGTCCTGACTGACTTTAATCCTATAGAAACGTTGTTGTGGAAGAACCTGAAGTAATCCACAAGAGGAAGTCCACCAGCCTCCTTAAACTGAAGCGGTTCTATACGGAGGAATCAACTAAAATTCCTCCAAGCCCATGCGTAGAACTGATCCAAAGTCAGAAATGTTTAGTTGGTTACTGTTGCTCAAGCAAGGCACATCAGTTATTAAAAGCAAAGGCTCACATATTTGGGCCACGCACAAATATGTAGCTTTGGATCATTTTGCTCAATAAATAAATGAATAAATGTTTTTTTTATTTCTTTGTTTTAATTGGATTCTCTTTATCTAGTTTTAGAACATGTGTAGACAACAGATGACATTGAAAATCAAAAAGGGTTCACCAATGTTAAAGCACCACTGTAACTCTTGAAGAATAGGACTGCCCCATATAAGTGCCCCATATTAATACAATATCAAGGGTTTTCAATTCAATTGTATAGAATGTGAAGGATGTGTGTTTGTGTTTTATTTTTATAGTTATAATGTACACTGAAGATGGCATTTAATTTCATTGTACAAGGTGCAATAACAATAAAGTAAACTAAAACTAAGCCAATTTTTCCAAATAGCCCTTCTACCAACCAAATATACGTATCCATCTTGTCTGGAGATAAGACAGGGGACTATTTGTGAACTAATTAAATCTGCTAGCCCCTACACCTCCTCTTCTCTAAAGATTTAGGATTTCAGGTGCGATTTCCTGAAAATTATAACAGAACAAGGCAATGTTTTATTCTATTTTTTGTTACAAAAGCATTTTGAAACTAATAATCTAGTAGAGTTTAAGGTACAAATTAGAAGTTTATTTAACTTTTATGACACCAGTAAAGTAGTAAATTGTGTTGCATTTTTGTTGGCAAGCATCATTTTTTTAAATCAAGACTATGCATTAAATCCCCCCTTCTACAATTAAAAAAAGTATTTTTGTTTTCCAAAGAGTTGTTTAGATATATAAAAGTATTCTTTATTTGTCGAGCATTACCATTTCTTCACTAGCATCCTGAGTACACTCTGAATTGGCACTGAGGACATCTGGAGATGATTCACCATAATTCTCATTCTCTGTGCCTTCATCACGCATATTTTCCACTGGTTTAGTGGATAAGATAGCTGACACATTCACATTATGAAAAAAAGAGACGTTTTGTGAATAAAGATTGAATATTCACATGCAAACATTAAGTTAGTTTAATCTAGTTGCATATCAAACTACATTAAATAAACTGATTTTAAATAATTTAATTTGATTAAATTTTGCCATTTAAGATGGAATGGAGAGATAAAAAGGATATCACATTCTGATCTAGTTAGTTGATAGGTCGAGCAACTGCAGCTAGACAGGAAGATTCAGCAAATTTAAACAAAATAGGATGCAAATTCCTGCTATAAAGCTACAAAGAAATCTTTGTTTGAATTCTTTCTTGCATTTTATCTAAAACGTCTTTAAAGTTTTGAAAATGTAACAGTAAATAAACAAGTACCCACAACTTTGCAAATTATAGGCGTGCAATCATATTCAGTTATCTGAAACTCAGACTCTTTGGTGATATATTAAACCAATCAAATGAAAGAGCCATCAATATATCATATTTTCTAATTATGGTAATTTGTTTATTGTACTGTGGGCCAAAATGATACATCTGAAATTTATGAAATATTTTTTAAAACATTAACTAAAGTTAGTTCTTGTTCTTATGAAGAAGAGAGATATTTGTTTATATTCAAGAGTGTGTCAGAAAGTTTGAACACCTTTTTCCAAAAAGCTTTGGCTGTCACTTCCATCACTTTCCAAGTAGTGCTCCTCAAAGATACTGTCAGTAGAAATGGTATCCAAAGAGGCTTGTGATGGACTTTTCTTCATGTTCTTATAAGAAACAGAGAATGCAGGGAGATTGGACTGGCACGATTCCTTAGGCTTTCCACTTTTTGATATAAAGATATTAGGAAATAATTACTTAAGGTAGAAAAAATTACAAAATAAAATAAAATCCTTTAAAAATATAATTAAAAGAAATGTTGTTGAAAATATATTCTGAAAGAAATATTATGAAATTATATTCTGAAATCACAAGTAGTAATTATACCCAGTAATATGTTCACACTGGCATTCAGTAGTCATATTATAATCCTGTAGCTAGTTAACACCAACAGTGTATATACATATTAAAGGATGATAGATTTATGATTTTGTGATCCTGGATAAAGAGAAAATCCCTTATTTAGCAGACAAATGCATTTTTTATATATTGTAAGTATTGTAGGAAATCCGTGCAATGTTCACAACCACCATCATTTTATAAATGAATTTGTAACATAAGAATGTAATAGGTGGTAATATGAAAAAATAATGATGCCTTCTGATTCATTTCAACCACAAGGGACTTTTCTCCAGCTCCAATTGCATACTGATTATTGTTCCAATATATTGTATCAGAACTACATGGAGCATTCCTATAGGTGTACTGGCTTCTGCCAAAAGAAATGTATGGAAAACAGGATTTAAATGATTAATCTGGTAAGTTATGACTACAGTACAGAACAGATGCAATGAAATATACTAAAAAAAAACACATTAAAATTTTGACAGCCAATTTCCAGCTTTGTAGTATCAACAAATAATCTAAAGACTCAGAACATCCTTAATCTCTCTAATTTTACTCTACTGACCCTTAAGTCCCGAATCTAAACCAAGTTAATTTGTAGAATATTTTCTGTACCTTAATGAAGACTGAAATGCAAGCATTTTTGCTGTGTTCAATTTTTCTTTGCCATTTTCAAACTTCTCAGACTGTCCTGCAGAATCAGTTTCAGTTTCTATGACTCTAACAGTTGAGCATTCTGCTTTACTTTTGTTATTTGAGAAACCACTTTTCTCTTCTTCCTTGCCCACCAGCATTTTGATAGGGTCTTCTCTGCAATTTGACATATCAGCCAATTCTCTAGGAAAGGAATTGTCACTTAATGACTCACAAATTTCTCCTGAATCACTACGACTGAAAAGCCCACTATTGCTTTCTTCATTCATTTTCCTCCAAAGTTTTTCTGCTGCATCATTCAAAAATGAACTTTCACTTGGCAAATCCATGTCAATATTTGATTTTAAAACTGGATCTATCAGAAGATTAAGATTAGTATTCAGAGACCCACAGTTGGTTACAATATTAATATCTAGATTGTTCATCTGTGTAGTAGAAGTAGAAACTAGCTTGCTTTCTGATTCATAAGCTTCTCTGTTTTCCATGGGTAAGGGATCTGATGTCCCTGGATCTCCTTGTTCTAAAATGGAAGGGTTGCACATGCTTCCTTGCACTAGTGGATGAAGCAACAAAGCTATGTCAGCACTTTTCAATAAGATCCCAATACAGACATTTGCCTCTTTTGCTGGATTCCCTGTCACAGTCTCTACATCCTTCCTCAAGTTGTCCAGGAGTAACGCAAGGGATTCTTGTAGGTAAAGTAAGAAAAGATATTGGTAATGATTTATCTGCATGCTTACATGTTTTTGAATATGAAGTAAAACATGAATGTCTGCAACATATGCAGACTGAGACTCCGAAGTGCTTTTAGTGGAGCACAAATTTTCAGTACCAGTGAGGAAGGCATCCATCTCAGTACTATAATACTCTTTCAGACGCTTTTTATGCTGCAGGCGATTAGCAAGGTCACAAGACTCACTTTTCAGAATGTTGAGAGAGTCCTGACTGCAAAAAGGCTCTTTGTGTGATTGTTCACACCTCATAGGTTGACAAATCCAAAGTGTAAGTGGGAATGAATCCACAAAGCTTATCGGCCGTCCTTTCCCACTCTTCATTCCTTCATAGTCCATCCAAAATTGAGAAAAATGCACTGCCCAAACATCTGATGCAGCTGAAGTTTTAAGTGCACATTTATTCATTTGAGGAGTAATAATACCTTTATAGATGTCACGCAGTTTTGTATCTTGTTCATGAGCATGTCTTTGAAAAATGGGATGTAAAAGATTAAAATTGTCAGAAGATTTGGGAAATTCTGTGAAAGTTCTACTGAAGAATGTAGAGTCTTTGAAGTTTTGGAATGCTGCTTCCAAATCAGAGTGTCTACAGTTTGCTGAATGTCTAGAATTTGTAGCAATCATTTCAGAACTTTGAATGGAAATTGCATATGGATCATCTTTATGTTTTTGCTTCCTTTCAGAAGGAATGATGAGCTACAATGATAAAAAGGTAAACTTAGTTAGAAAACTATATATGAGGATCAAACAGAATTCATTGAATAAATATTCTTCAAATGTTAGGAAGAAGAAAGAAAAGTAAATTGTCCAATGAGTATCTGACCAATACACATAAAAGTTATTAATATATGTAGCTCCACAAAATGTGGGTTGTACAATCCCCAAAATGGCTAAACAAGAGAATGAGAAAAATAGCCGTCTGCAATGGCTAGTACTGGATTTGGTCTTAAATCTAAAGTATAAGACAACTGAGTGTCAAGTTGATGACGCAAAGGAAAAGATGAATTTACTAATTGAGTATTGTTGTACAACATTAAATAATAATTTCCTGAGAAAGAATTAGGATATATGGCTAATAAAGGCAGAAATGCCTTGTGGCTTAATAAAATAGGCAAGCTAATTTTTTTTTTACATTTATTCAATGAATTCTATAGCTATTTATCTCAGTCAATGACTCTTTGAGGCTTAAAGTTCAAAAATGTATTAAAATACTAAAACCATTTTGAAACAATAAAACCCAGTAGAAACTTCTGAATTAAATACACATATCAGCTAAGATACTTTGCTACTTAACAAGTCAGCATCCTAGGCACTGGAACATAGCCAGCGTTTCAAAAGGCTAATAGGGCCAGCCCCATTCTAATCTCCCAAAGGAAAATGTTCCATAGAAGAGGAGCCACTGTTGAAAAAACCTGCTATGGTAGTTTATACTCTGATAACTTTCTGACCAGATTAGTTTTAACAAGCAGTATATAAAAAAGAGCCTTAAAGATAATGTGTGAGTTCAGACTGAAACAGCTAGTACTGTGAATAATGTAGTCAAATGGAATAACATATCCATTCTGAAGGAACTGCATTGGCTACTCATTTCCTTTAGGAGAAATTCTACCTAGAAACCTATATTGCTTGTCTCTCATGCTTCTCCCACTTGTTCCTAAAACAGGATTTAAAAGAGGCATGGTGCTACCACAGTATCTGATTGATCATTCCATTATCCTGCTCTTTCCATCCAAGAAGGGAAAGCAATTCTTGTTGCCTGGCTACAAACAGGGAAGGCAACCCTTGCTACCTGGCTCCTATGTTGGTGGTGTTACAAGTTCCTGCCTTCTCCTTTTAAATATTGTCACTTTTTTACCAGTTCCTGTTCATTTGCTTCTCAGATGTTACATACATGAATGGCTTCACACATCTTTCCCATGTTTCTCCTTTGAAGCTACTAAAGCCATAGCTTCAATGCTACCATTGTTAAAGCAGAGGGAACAAATTGTTCCTTTGTTCCACTGTGGTGGGTAGAAATTTTGTATCAATAAAGAACTGATAGCTGAAATTCAAGGAAGCAAGACAGTACCATTCATTGATATTTTGTAACATTGTTCAAACATTAAGGGAAGGAGGACTATTGCAGAACAGTGGGCACAATGTAAGAAAGAAAGAACAGGATGGCTAGGACATACAAGGTTGTCCACAGAATGGAATGGAATGAATGTACTAGACTCCAGGATGTTTATGAACCATTGGATCAACTGGAAGGGGAAAAAGGAATCTGACTAGCTAAGACCATAGCAACTCATTGTGAAAAAATCATCAGCTACTAGAGACAATGAGCAAGTCAAGTACTACAGGCAATTGGAGTTGCAGATGTCATTAAACAGGAATAAAGTACAGTTGATTAAATACTCAAAATGGCTTAACATGGCTTCAAATGTAAAACAATACTTCTGAAGTACTTTTCAAAAGAGAAGTTGGGAGTGCATTTTCAGTAGACTTGGACTAGGTGAAGTATTGTTCTTGCACTCAGGATAAGGTGAATGACAAACTGATTATTGGACAAACAGAAATTGTAGATCTGGCTTAAGTCTAAAGAAATTGGATCTGCCTATCTTTAAAACCCAGTGTGATCTCAAATAGTTGAAGGATCATTTCTGGCTATAATATCCAGTCCATGTTTAATATGGTCAGAAAGTATTTTTTCTTAAAGCTTGGATACATTGCATAGCAGCGAGTCCTCTGTTGTAGTCTCCAAATATGGATCTTCTCATGTAAGCATGAGTAATACTATCGCTGCATATATTTTTTTAGTACTGGTTAAATACTTTTTGTTTGCACAAGTATTTTGATTTATGTAAATGTTTTTTCTTTTTTATCTTACTGCTTTTATTATTATATTTTGACTACTTATAACCTGCCCTGTTTTATTATTTTTGGTCAAGTTTTAAATCAAAGTAGTAATAAATCTCAGCTTGCTGTAATTCTGCAGAGGAATGTATTCCTTTTAAAGATTTCTATGCCCAAGGAATTCATATACCCTTGACTATCAAACAACTACTATCCCCAATATGCTATTTATTAATAAATTGATCTCCACGGCTACATGTACATCACTGATTCACTAAATATTTCTTTTCTGATGTGCCTATCATACTGTCATTCTTTTTAGGTTCAAACAGTCCAGCTATTTGATTTGTTTGTCCCAGGCAAACATATTGTTGCTTTAATACTTAGAAGCTGCCCATAGTTGTGTATGAGTGGGGGAAGTTTAAAACTTCCAATCCCATAGCATGGAGATTAATTTATAAATTGCCATTAATTTATGAACATAGAATACATATACTTAAATGTTGTGTATTCCCCCACAACTGTTAGAACCTTTCATAAAAAGCTAATAGTCAATGTTATCTATAATATACAATCACAGGCACTGGAAATATTATATACAGTGGGGCAAAAAAGTATTTAGTCAGCCACCAATTGTGCAAGTTCTCCCACTTAAAAAGATGAGAGAGGCCTGTAATTGACATCATAGGTAGACCTCAACTGTGAGAGACAAAATGAGAAACAAATCCAGACAATCAAATTGTCTGATTTGGAAAGAATTTTTTTACAAATTATGGTGGAAAATAAGTATTTTGTCACCTACAAACAAGCAAGATTTCTGGCTCTCACAGACCTGTAACTTCTTCTTTAAGAGGCTCCTCTGTCCTCCACTCATTACCTGTATTAATGGCACCTGTTTGAACTTGTTAGCAGTATAAAAGACACCTGTCCACAACCTCAAACAGTCACACTCCAAACTCCACTATGGTGAAGACCAAAGAGCTGTTGAAGGATACCAGAAACAAAATTGTAGACCTGCACCAGGCTGGGAAGACTGAATCTGCAATAGGCAAGCAACTTGGTGTGAAGAAATCAACTGTGGGAGCAATAATTAGAAAATGGAAGACATACAAGACCACTAATAATCTCCCTCGATCTGGGGCTCCACACAAGATCTCACCCCGTGGGGTCAAAATGATCACAAGAATGGTGAGCAAAAATCCCAGAACTACACGGGTGAATTACCTGCAGAGAGCTGGGGCCAACATAACAAAGACTACCATCAGTAACACACTATGCCGCCAGGGACTCAGATCCTGCAGTGCCAGACGTGTCCCCCTGCTTAAGCCAGTACATGTCCAGGCCCATCTGAAGTTTGCTAGAGAGCATTTGGATGATCCAGAAGAGGATTGGGAGAATGTCATATGGTCAGATGAAACCGAAGTAGAACTGTTTGATTGAAACACAACTTGTTGTGTGGCAACATCATGCTTTGGGGCTGTTTCTCTGCAAAGGGACCAGGACAACTGATCCGTGTACAGGAAAGAATGAATGGGGCCATGTATCGTGAGATTTTGAGTGCAAACCTCCTTCTATCAGCAAGGGCATTGAAGATGAAATGTGGCTGGGTCTTTCAGCAAGACAATGATCCCAAACACACTGCCCGGGCAACAAAGGAGTGGCTTCGTAAGAAGCATTTCAAGGTCCTGGAGTGGCCTAGCCAGTCTCCAGATCTCAACCCCATAGAAAACCTTTGGAGGGAGTTGAAAGTCCGTGTTGCCCAGCGACAGCCCCAAAACATCTGCATGGAGGAATGGGCCAACATACCAGACACAGTGTGTGCCAACCTTGTGAAGACTTACAGACAACATTTGACCTCTGTCATTGCCAACAAAGGATATATAACAAAGTATTGAGATGAACTTTTGATATTGACCAAATACTTATTTTCCATCATAATTTGCAAATAAACTCTTTCCAAATCAGACAATGTGATTGTCTGGATTTGTTTTCTCATTTTGTCTCTCATAGTTGAGGTCTACCTATGATGTCCATTACAGGCCTCTCTCATCTTTTTAAGTGGGAGAACTTGCACAATTGGTGGCTAACTAAATATTTTTTTGCCCCACTGTAGTATCAGTGTTATATTGAGAAATATATTCAAAAACATGCAGGTTCTTTCAGCTATGTTAGAAATTTGAAAATTAAAAAATCTGAAAGGTCCAAATATCCCATAAAAGTTAGAAACCAAGGCAATCACTAGCACATTGTCCATGATCTGTCATTTAAAAATGGCTCCAGTTTCAAAGAGTTTCAAAACAAGGACTGTTGGCATGCATCATTCTATATAGGAAAGAAACACTTAGCAATGTTGTGTTATGCTTTTGCAAACTGTACCTTTATCATTAATCCATCAACTCGAACATCAACATGTTCTTCTGATTTTGAATTGTCATTTAACTTGTACATGGCCATAAACTGACTGAGACTCTGTTTCATATCCAATACAAATTGATTTATCCAAAGAATACTTCTCTCGTCCAAAGTGAACTGTAGTGCATTTAGTTGAATATACAAGTTTGCATTTGGAACTAAAGGAAATGAAAACAAAATTATTATATTAAAATGTTTTAAAAGTAGAGTCACTATGACTATAATAAGCTAGGTGCTTGAAGAATATTAGTACCAACGAAAACAGTGCTGTTATTAGTATGGCAGTGGTTTCCTTAGTGTGGCATTAGATCTTATCTTCCAATAATATTTTGATAACTGCTATAGTAGAAATGAGATTTGAAAAAAAAAAATTACAACAAAAAATTTCAATACATAGCTTTTTATATAGATATTAGCCCTTTTAGGATATTCCATTCCAATTCTAGTTTCAGATCCTTTGTAATTATTCTACCATCCGCTTTAATGGTGTTAAAAATCTTGTGATGCTGAGCACATTCTGACTTTATTATATTCAGGAAGACAGTCCTTAAACACAGTCCTCTCCTGAGCAGTATAATCTTCCTTTACAACAATGAATTGTCACCTAAATACTTACTGTTCTTTATGATATGAATAATAAACAAACAATAAGGCAGCAACGCTTCATGGATTACTGTCTTGTCATGGCAAAGCGGCTTGCATAGCTCAATGAAGCTATTAGCTATGCCGTACAGGGCCACCCAAGACGGACAGGTCATAGCAGAGTTCTGACAAAACATGATCCACTGGAGAAGGAAATGGAAACCCATGCCAGTATCTGTGCCATGAAAACCCCCCATGGACAGTACCAAAAGGCAAAAAGATATGATGCCAGAAAATGAGCCCCTCAGGTCAGAAAGTGTCCAATATGCTACTGGGGAAGAGCAGAGGGCTGGTACTAGTAGTGCAAAAAAGAGTGAGTGGCTGGGCCAAAACCAAAAGGACACTCAGCTGTGGATATATCTGGTGGTGAAAGGAAAGTCCAATGCTGTAAAGATCTATACTCCTTAGGAACATGGAATGTAAGATCCATGAATCAAGGCAAGCTGGACATGGTCAAACAAGAGATGACAAGACTGAACATCAAAATCTTAGGAATCAGCGAATTAAAATGGACAGGAATGGGTGAATTTAAATCAGGTGACCATCAGGTATAATACTATGGGCAAAGATCCCTCAGAAGAAATGGAGTAGTCAATAAAATAGGAAAAGCAATACTGGAACACAATCCCCAAAATGACAGAATGATCTCAGTTCGAATCCAAAGCAACCCATTCAATATCACAGCAATCCAAGTCTATGCCTGGTGCTGAAGAGGATGAAATTGACTGGTTCTACGAAGCCCTACCACACCTTATAGAATTAACATCAAAAAATGATGTTCTTATCATCATGGGAGATTGGAATGCTAAAGTAGGAGGCCAAAAGATAACTGGTATAACAGGCATGTTTGGAGTACAAAAGGAAGCAGGACACAGGCTGATAGAATTTTGTCAAGAGAAAGGCAGGGCTAGGTGAATCAAAAGTTGGAATTAAGATTGCCGGGAGAAATATCAACATCCTCAGATATGCAGATGATACCACTCTAATGGCAGAAAGTGAAGAGGAACTAAAGGCCCTCTTGATGCGGATGAAGGAGTAGAGTGTAAAAGATGACTTGAAACTCAACATTAAGAAAACTAAGATCATGGTATCCGGCCCTCTCAATTCCTGGCAAATAGATGGGGAAGAAATGGAGGTGTTAGAAGATTTTATTTTCCTGGGCTCCAAGATCACTGCAGATGGGGATTGCAGCCAAGAAATTAAAAGACGCTTGTTCCTGGGGAGGAA